CTTGTGTCGCCATTTGCGTTGTTTGAAGAGGATGTTGGATGAGTTTCAATGAACCATGGAGGTCGTCGCTTGCGAGGAACTTGAAGGACAATGGGCGTCTATGGATTGTCTTTCTCCGCCCGTCAACGCTTTCTCTCAAGCTTTCTCCTTGCACAAACATGAATATCAGCCCTCATTTCTCTCAGAACTCTCTCAGAACCGCGACGGTCCTCATCTCAATTCCTAAACACCGATGCTCCTGTCTGAGCACTTCAGAGTCCCTCAAACCCATGAAATGACGACATTCCAACATCTGAATCCTCTACTCGGGGGCCACGGCGTAGGTGGATAGGAGAAACGCAATCGCTATTGTGCAACTCTTGGCAGGACGCGTGGTACGTGTTGAACGATCATTCTCTTCAGGTGAGGGTAAGGGTACTAACCCCAGTCAGGCTTCGGGCACCCGTTTCTCTCGTTGGCAGTCGTGCCGAACTCGCTTTGGTCCGATGCGTCGGTCGCCCTGGACTTTGAGGGTCTGCGACGCGGTGTTTTTATCGCGCATTACGGTTTTTTTTTGGAATGCAAATCGAAGAACACTAAAAGACACCGCCGCATGCTGTCCTGAACGATCTTGAGGCTCGTATCATCGTCGATTCATCGAATCATCACTGTCGCTGCTTTGTCGTGAATCTTGCCTCCTGATTTTCCTTCTCGCCGTGACGCAAGCTCATCGGACGCATTTCATTAATTTTAGTCTCAACAAAAAAAAATCGCACCCAACCAACAAGAAACGGAAGCAGTTCAGAGCGCCCTAGTTTGGTAGCCATGTGGCGTCTCCTTGACTAAACAGGAAGGTCTCCTGCCAGTGGTTCCATGTTGAGGGGCAACGTACAGGTCGTCCTTCAAGTACCCGCAGCGTCGATGCGCAGTATTCGACTGGTCAGACGGTGAGCGTGCTACGTAGAGACGATATAAACGCCACAATGTCGATGATCCCACCGCTCATCCCCCATACACGTTGAGCACGCCGTAGCCGAACGACGTTTCGCCTCACCCCCCAGCTCCTGTTCTCGCTAGACTCGTGCCCTTAGCTCGAAATAATACGGTGTTCCTCGCCCTTTCACTACCTAAGCTTTTCGCTGGTTCCAGGCACTCGTTGTAAGTGCAATCTCTTGCAAATACCCCCTTTGCCTGATCTTTTTTTATTTCTGGGGGGTGTGAATCAGCACAGGCAATTTACGCTAGTTCATAGGGACCGTCGTGGTCTGCTTTGATCTGCTTGCTGTCCCTATACGGGCTCCGTTTTCTCGCTCTTACCGGTCAGACAAGACCGCCGACCGTCATGGGCAAACCCCCGTCCTCGAGACTAATAGCTCAACTCTCGATCGCGTTAAGGAGGAATAGCGGCCTCCCTTGGTACCTATGTATGCTAAAGCTTGCAGTACGATGTACGCTCACTGATCGGTAGGTCTCGTACCAATGGACGAGAGTTCGACAGGCTATACATGCTTATTCGTCGTTGTTAGAAAGCGGCATAACTAGACACTTGCAACAAAGCAACCCACGCATGGAAGCAATTACGAGGTACCTTTGCGTCTTTCACTTTCCCAGACGGTCGTTCGGGACCTTGGGTATCCTCCCCCCTGGAATCCTTTAGCAGCATTGGCGACTCCTGTTGGTATCGTGACTTTTCAAGTACCCTCGATCGTCACACATACTTGGGGATGTCGACGAACTAGCAAGGCTTGGCTATGAGGGGCTAGAACGCGACGACGAGAGGGGGAAACATTCGCATAAAAGAGCGAATGCTTCGGTCCAGGGATGTTCAACGAGGTGCCCGCACACTCCGTTCCTATTTCTTCTCCAACTCGTTCCCTCATCCTCCCGGTCTCTGCTTCACACCGTCTCACGTCGCTTGGTGAGTACCTGTATCCCACATTGCCCGTAGTATTAAGCTCTAACGTCTGTCGTCTCCTCCCTAGCTCCTCGCAGCGTTAGCTGAACATCATGAAGTTCAGCTTTGCCGTGATCGCCGCCGTTCTTCTGGCTGGCATCGTCGGCGCTGTTCCTACTCCAGATCCGGTTGCAGGCCCTGAACCTGGCCGCGAGAAAAGCGGGAAGCAGCACCCTCCCGCCGCGCCTCCTTCGCGCCATGGTCCGCCCAAACACCATGGACCTCCTCCTCCACCGAAGTACCCCATCCATCCGGGTCCTCCCTCCAAGCCTATCAAGCCGTACAAGCCGTACAAGCATGGCAAGCCGGAGAAGAGGCCTGTGAAGTACAAGTGGTACAACCCGTGGAAGAAGCCAGCGAAGAAACCGAAGGTCTTCAGTCCGAAGAAGCCGAAGCATAAGGCTAAACCGAAGCCTAAGCCAAAGCCCAAACCGAAGCCGAAGCCTCCTCCCAAGAAACCGTTCCACCCACCGAAGAAGTACGTGAAGAAGCCGAAGCCTCATCCCCCTCCCCCTCCTCCCCCACCTCCGCCTCCGCCTCCACCGCCTCCTCCTCCTAAGCCTCATCACCCTCATCACCCTCCCCCTCCCCCACCTCCTCCTCCTCCACCACCACCACCTCCTCCTCCTCCCCCTCCTCCTCCTCCCAAACCTCATCATCCTCATCATCCTCATCCTCCCCCACCGCCACCACCCCCTCCTCCACCTCCACCCCCACCTCCTCATCCTCCTCCGAAACCCCATCCTCCTCATCCTCCTCCAAAACCCCATCCTCCTCACCCACCTCCAAAACCTCATCCCCCTCATCCTCCCCCGAAACCTCATCCTCCCAAACCTCCCAAACCTCCCAAGCCTCCTCACCCTCCTCATCCCCCTAAACCCCCACATTGGCCACCTAAGCCACCCGGTCCTCCTCACCCTCCTCACCCCCCTCACCCTTGGCCACCGGGTCCGCCCAAGCCACCTCATCCCCATCCTCCCGGTCCTCCAAAACCTCCTCATCCCCATCCTCCTGGTCCTCCCAAACCACCTCATGGTGGTGGAGGCGGTCATGGTCCTCCCAAGCCACCTCACGGCGGCGGAGGCGGAGGTCATGGTCCTCCTCATGGCGGGGGTGGAGGTCACGGCCCTCCCAAGCCGCCTCATGGTGGTGGCGGAGGCGGCGGTCATGGTCCTCCCTCTGGCGGCGGCGGACACGGTCCTCCTCATGGCGGAGGCGGAGGTCACGGTCCTCCCAAGCCACCCCACGGCGGCGGTGGAGGTGGTGGCGGTCATGGTCCTCCAAGCGGCGGCGGAGGTGGTGGACACGGTCCTCCTGGTGGTGGTGGAGGCGGTGGTCACGGCCCACCCTCTGGCGGTGGTGGAGGTGGACATGGTCCTCCTGGTGGTGGTGGAGGTGGAGGTGGACACGGCCCTCCCGGCGGCGGCGGAGGTCACGGCCCTCCCAAGCCGCCTGGTGGTGGTGGAGGAGGCGGCGGTGGTCACGGTCCACCCTCTGGCGGAGGTGGTGGTGGTCACGGTCCTCCTTCTGGCGGCGGCGGTGGTCACGGTCCTCCCAGCGGTGGAGGAGGTAACGGCGGCGGTGGAGGCGGACATGGTCCTCCAAGCGGAGGTGGAGGTGGCGGGCACGGTCCTCCTGGTGGTGGTGGTGGAGGAGGAGGAGGAGGAGGTAACGGCGGTGGTGGACATGGTCCTCCCGGCGGCGGCGGTGGAGGAGGAGGAGGTGGCGGGCACGGTCCTCCTGGTGGTGGTGGTGGTGGTGGAAGCGGTGGTGGTGAAGGTCCTCCCAGTGGTGGCGGAGGAGGCGGTCATGGTCCCCCTTCAGGCGGCGGCGGCGGCGGTGGACATGGCGGCGGTGAAGGTCCTCCTAGCGGTGGTGGTGGTGGTGGGCACGGTCCCCCAGCTGGCGGTAGTGGTGGTGGTGGCGGACATGGTCCTCCCAGTGGTGGAGGCGGTGGTGGAGGCAGCGGACACGGCGGCGGCGGAGGTCCTGGTGGCGGTGGTGCTGGTGGAGGCGGACACGGTCCTTCAAGCGGCGGCGAAAGTGCACCCCCACCTCTCAGCGGAGGTGCTGGAAACGAAACCCCTCCTCCACCTCCCCCAACCAGCGGTGGTGGCGGAAGTGAAGCTCCTCCCCCTCCTCCTCCTCCAACCAATGGTGATGGCGGAAGTGAGGCTCCTCCCCCTCCCCCTCCTCCGCCCCCTCCAAGTGGCGGTGGAGGTAGCGAAAGCCCTCCTCCCAGCGGTGGTGGAGGTGAAAGCCCCCCTCCTCCCCCTCCCCCTCCTCCTCCCAGCGGCGGCGGCGGCAGCGAAAATCCCCCTCCCCCTCCTAGCGGCGGAGGCGGCGAAGCCCCACCCCCGCCACCTCCTCCTCCCACTGGAGGTGGTGGAAGCGAAGGTCCCCCTCCCAGCGGCGGCGGCGGCGGAGGTGGTGGACATGGACCACCTGGAGGCGGTGGCGGCGGTGGAGGCGGTAACGGTCCTCCAAGTGGTGGCGGCGGTGGTGGAGGAGGTCCTCCAAGTGGTGGAGGTGGAGGTGGTGGTGGTCCTCCCAGTGGTGGGAGTGGGGGTGGAGGAGGTCATGGCGGCGGCCCTCGTTGATTGCTCCCCATGGTTAGTCTCATCCCCTCCAATAAGTCGATGCTTGTGCTGACTTGTACCACAGAGCGAACGAACTATCTTTCTGAATTCTCGGACCTCTATTCGTCTTTGCGTCTTCCTGTGACTTTTGGGCGTGCGCGTGTACGTTAGGACTGCGTTGTTTCTCTTCGTACTCTTATCCTTTTCATCGACACTTCCGGATCCTTTGACGCGACTTTGTATCTTTTAGGAGCTCGGACTCTGTATATTAGTTGTACTGCACTCGCACCATACTGTAGCGATAGCAGACGCGTGAAAATGAAATGAACTCTGCCAACCATGGCTTCAATCATTCTATCAGTGACTTGGCGTGACTGTACTGATGATGCTTGGCTCAAGTTGAACGTTGAACTCTCGCCCGAGCCCACTCTGAGCCCCTGGTGTCTACGATGAACTCGAACACTTGGCTGAACAGCTCGACAAAAAGATGCATTAAGGGGGAATCGAACCCCCGGCGGGTCGAACTATTGTTCGATCAATGGCAACGACCCAGGTTACCACTACCCCATTAATGCCTTGAGTGATCCGTTCCAATAGACGTACATGTACGCATAGGCCCAGGAAGGATTTCATGAAGCAGAAGCCTGAATGAGAAATCCGAAATCAATTCTGAGATAATGACTGCAGTAACAGTAAATCATCCAAGGATTTCACTGCGATGTTCTCCGCACTGTTCTTCACGAAGACACCTCCCCGTCTGGGATCAGGCCACCAAGACGGTTTGGATGGTGTCACAACCCACTTCACCGTTTCACCGCCCTCCTGCACGGGAGACTCGAACTCCAACACCCTCTTTCCGTCTTCACAGCTTGCGACATCCTCCGTACGTAGCATCGCCAGACCAACGCCGTGCACGTTGCTCACGAGTTGATTTTTTATTCGAGATGCAGCCGTTGGTTGGGCCTCGTGTAACGACCTGGAGGAGACTTCGATGCCCGGGGGAAATCTGGGTTTGGGGGTACTCCGTGCGTCATTCACGCTAGAAGTCACGTTCTTCAGCCATTCAAACACTTCACAGCAATATGAGGACTTACCTCTCGCCTTCACGGTGGATAATCACTGGGAATAGTCGCCTCCGCAACTCGTTGACATGTCTGGCGCGTGAAAGGTGTTCTTGACCGACGTGACAGCCCTTCTTGAATGTTACTATTCCATGAAACGCGTGAGGAAGACGACCTGGAGCAAAGGCATATGTACTCACAAGCACCCATGATATCTAATGACGAGTTTGCTGGGAATACATGAGTTGGAGGCATGTCCTCGATGCCTTCGGGAACACCGTTGAGGTATCGATGCACACGGTAATCGTCCAACGTCCCTTCGTCAAAGCTCGATGAGATCGAGGGAGCTGCAGGGATGTGGTGTAAATTCAAGAACATGAATGGCTTGTATAGTTGACACGTACCCGTGTTGCCCCTTTTCGTCAAGACTCTCTGACCGAACCCGATTGCCCTTCGGTCTATGATAGGTCCGGGCTGAGAGCCCCATCTCGAAGAACCCCACTGAACCTCCATCTCCTCATCGAAGACTGGTTCTATCACTCCAGTCGGATGACATTCCCATGTCCGAGCCTCCGTCCCAAGCTCATACGTCAACTGGTTCGGATTCCACAACGCCCAGACGTCGTACTCCTCCGTGACGTCCCTAATTCTAATCTTCGACCTCAAGAGGTGCCGCTTTAGCATCTGCAGCAAGGATTGTGCCTCGGACGGACGAGAGTCGTACTCAATGAGGTACCCTGGCTCCGTCTCTGACTTTGCATTGGAGTAAAGGAACACATCATAGAGTATTCTTCCCTAACAATTTTGAAAGAGAGAGCTGTCATTACACTTCATTACAGTACAGCGCAAGCACGAGCACAGGAACTCGCCTTGGCATTCAGAAAGACGGTGTATAGATGCTGCCTCGAACCGTCTCCAGGCATCTTCCCAGAAATGAGTCCGTCCAGAAATTGGCCTACACCTGGTCCTGCGACGGAGAGGACGCCTCTATCAGGTAAATTAACACATGTGGGCACGCTCCGGGCGACGTGTTTGATGGTATTCCATCCCGGCCGACTGAGGTATGAGGGGGTGTTATTTGCATGTTCGCTGAGTGTGCTCAAGAGCCTATGTCGCGCAAGTTTGGGTATACTTTGAAAATGAGATGATCTTGACCTTTGCAATGCGAGCATAACCGGAATCTGTAATCCCCCCGCGCGAGGTGGTGTTGAGCAGTAGCTCCTTGTGGTCTGTGTGAATGGAGGGAGGGAGAGAGGATGAATAATTACAGTCCCGAACGAGCCGACCTTCGGCGCTTCCTCACTTTCTGCTTTACAGCGACCAGCACTCTCTCGACATGACGGCCACAGTAGATTATTCAAAGTAAGACGACAATCATTAGTCTACCTGAAGCCAGAGAGCTTAAAACTTTATCAGATGGAAGAATCTGCCCCCACCCCCCGGATTCTCCCAATCATCCTCTTCCTCAGTATGTGGTCGGACGGCATTGCCTGTCTATTCATCTGAATCTTTTCGCATTACAGTCCAAGACATCAAGTAAAGCTGTTGCTGCCGCCTCAGCTTCATATGCTAGCCTCAAAGAATCACGCGCATGGGACTTCGCAATCTCGCCAGCAAAGTCACTGCCCATGCAGGCATTCATGCTGTACATGTCCGGAGGAGGAGTGCAGATATTTAGCATGGGAATCGTGTTTATGTTGCTGTTGAGCCCGTTCAAGAACCTGGCTGCTATCAACACTGGTGCGTTTCAATCTTCTGGCAGTTGATAACTGGTGACTTACACTCCAGTCTGCAGCGTTCGCTCCATTTGCCCCTACACCTGCACCGGGCGACAAGTCCTCCTCCACCACTTCACCCAACTCTCTGACTGCACTGCCGTTACAGAAGTTTGTGTACCTCATTTGCAATCTCCTCACACTCGCACTTGGTCTATGGAAATGTAAATCAATGGGATTGCTACCCATGGGTACGGGAGATTGGTTGGCATTCGAGACCAGGGGTCCGGTGAGTGGATTCGCCCAAAGTCATAAGCTGCACCTTCTGACCGAATGCACATACACAGCCTGCTGAGGTACTGCTGATGTAGAAGTTTGGTATAATTATTCTCTCAATCAATTATTGCACACCAGAATCGACTCGGACCACCATATGCAACTCTCATTGCATTCCGTTTGCTATTGTTCGTATAGGCAGGTCAATGCAAATCAAACGCCACTGGGGCGACTGAGCTCTTCTCTGACCCAAAGCGATATCGTACTGATCTACTTTATCCATTGGCACCGCAACCAGAATTGTCACCTTAGCATAACGGGGTGAGGTCTGTTATCAGTCATGCGTTCGTGATTGTTGTTCACTATGCTATAGGACCGATTTCACTACCTGCTTTCTAATGCTTGGATACTCTTTCTCAGCGACAGCTGCAGATCGCCCTTAATGGCCGTGACTGAAAGAAAAGTCATTCAATCCAATGGTTCACGTCAACATTCAGTAAGACCGGATGCTTCCAAGTGATACCGTGTGTGCTCGACATGCAGCTGGCAGAACGTCCACATACGAGAGACTAGGATTACAACCTGTAGGAAACATTGGCGGCCAGCGGACCTGTCGTATCATGAAGTGTTCACAACTTACACCTGAATCGAACGCGTGTGTGGCTCACCTGAGTAGGTAATGGAAGAGAAGACCAGAGAAAGGGTGCTCAGCCGTCGTCCATATCCTCCTCGCGAATCACTATACGCTGAGGACCATCATCCGTGGTGCTCTGCCCCGTCCTTCCCTTCTTGCCGCTACCCTTTTGCTGTTTCTCACTGGGTTTCCTGGATATCGCAGCAGCGCGATTGGCGTTCTTGCCTTTCGTTCTATTCCTGGTCTGCTTCAACACTTCGTCCACACCGTCTCCGATCTTGATTACAACGCTCAACGTCGATTTTCCGCGCGTTCGGTAGGATATGTCTTCGTCCTCGTCATCGGGTATAAGTTCGTCCTGAACTTCAACAGTGCCTGTGAGTACTTCCGTATGGATATCTTCTGGGGGATGCGGGAGGATTGAAGGGAGGGATACGCTGAGCTGTAGCAGATGTGGTATCGCTGCACCCATCGCATTGAGATGTAGGGTTTTGTAACTTAAACGATAGTTCAGACAGACTTGCAACTCGAAGCGTGATTGACTACATACCCGTCTTTCAGGACAACGTCTTTACATCGTCTCAGGTATGCACCCAGCGGCGTCTTCCGTGTTACACAAATATAGTTCTTGCCTTCAGTATGCGCCGACCGAGGCCCAGTGGCAGACACGGAAGTAGGGACAGTCGAATACGGTCGTGGAGGAGCAAGCTTCCTGATCTTGTGAGTCGGAGCGGCTTGGGAAGTCGACGGTCCCGCGGTATTGGCAGCCTCCTCACCCTCAGTCATCTCTATCTCCGCATGCTCTCCTCCCTCTTTGTCGGAACCGTCTGCCACCGCCTTCCCTTTGCCTTGTGTATCCGTTGCCTGCTGTTCGCCAATGGACGCGCCCGTCGGTCCGTCTGCTCCAGAGGCCACTTTAGCTTTCTTCGCCTGTACAGGGTCGGTCGTCGTGTCATCCATCTTCCTCTTTGCCATAGTAAACGGACCCGGAGGTGTTTGTTGATATCGAAAGGAGTCAAGTGTAACTGTCCAGCCTCGCAGAGACAGTGCTTTCCCAAGTTGGACTATGGGCGTTTATCCGAACTGATAAAAATTGTAGGCGAGGAACGCGGCTTGATCACCGCCAACTCCCTGCGCTCTTGCGCTCCCCTCTCTTCCTTTTATTCTTCGTCTTTTGCTGTACATATAGTTCACAAAAGTATCAAAACATCTCGCCAAGATGTCTCAGGATCAGGCAGAGCAGAACATCCAAATGTGGAAGGTCAAGAAGCTCATCAAGAGCCTTGACGCTGCGCGAGGGTATGTCGTTCGTTTGGCAGCTCGAGAGGACGACGAACTCATCGGTATTCGCAGTGCAGGAACTTCCATGATCAGTTTGATTATCCCGCCAAAAGTGTGTTCGATTGCTGTGGATCTTGGTGCGATTGGAGAACAACACTGACGGGGTTCGTGTGCCTAGGATCAAATCTCTCGTGTCTCCGCCATGTTGACGCAAGAATACGGTACTGCATCCAACATCAAGTCTAGAGTCAATCGTCTGTCTGTGCTGGCCGCTATCACTTCTACTCAGCAACGTCTCAAGCTGTACAACCGTGTTCCGCCCAACGGTCTCGTCCTTTTCGTCGGTACCATCCTGACCGATGAAGGCAAGGAAAAGAAAGTTTCGTTCGATTTTGAGCCCCATAAGCCTATCAACACGTACGTCTACTTCTACTCCGCTGGCCGTGTGTACCACTGAAACTTCCATCAGATCCCTTTACCTTTGCGACAACAAGTTCCATACTGAAGCGCTCCAAGAACTCCTCGAATCCGACTCCAAATTCGGATTTATCGTCATGGACGGTAACGGTACTCTCTTCGGTACTGTTGCGGGAAACACTCGTGAGGTC